CAATTGGCAAATAAAATTCCCCCAACGTGTCGGAGGCATTAATAGACGTCATTGTACAGCTTTGTGTTAGGCTTTCTTATCTTTTAAATTTAGTTTAAATTGTTGCATTAAGTTTTATAATATAATCGACAGTATTATTGTTGATACTCTGAATAAAAATAAAATAAAATCATAAAATAAAATATTAGAGTTGGACACGGGCCGTGTTTTTGGTCGTGGCACTTTGTGCCACGCGTGTTCGTGTTGCAAATTCCAATTTCGTGTTGAGCTAATTAATTAATTAAATTAAATTAATTTAATTAATTAACTAAATTAAATATAAAATATTCCATACATACATTTACATCAGAATCGTGCCTTATGCGTGTTTGTCTACTTGTACATATGTATGTATATGTGCATTGAGCCTGGTTATATGGCTATAACTTTCTTTCTGATCAACCTATCATAATGCAACTTGGTATACGGATATATAATTACTAACTGGATGTGTCTACCAAATTTTTTTAATTCCAAGAATTATGGGAGTTATAGAGTGGGGGAGTGGGGGGCGCATCGGGAAAAATGAACAAACTCGTCCTTTCTCGGGCTCAGGAGAATCTGTATACCAAGTTTGGTTATTCTAGCTTTTATACTTTCTGAGATCCTTGCGTTCATACAGACGGACGGACGGACAGACGGACATGGCTATATCGACTCGTCTTCCGACAGCGAAATACCCTGTACCCAGGTAAACTTCCGACACTGAGGTATATGCACCCATAGCAGAAGCAAAAAGAGGAAGAAGAAGAGCGAACTTGTTGCTGCAGTTTGGGGGGTTGTACTGGGGAGAATTTGTTTCGCTAATAACTTTTCTTAGAATTGACAGAATTGGATAATATTTTAAACAGTAGATAATTATATATAAACTAGCAGGTATTGCCCGTCTTAACCCGGCTCAATATAATGTTTCCAATTGTATTTATTTTGTGTGTGCATAACATACCCATATGCTTTCACCTTATAAGTTACCAGTAGAAAGGCATTTAAGGTATTTAAATGAACATTTTCTGTTCTTGACAAAAAATTGTTCAGTAGTCCGTTATATTTTTGTTCTCGCCAAACTATTTCGTTAAACGAACATGACCACTATAACTAATATTTTTTAAAGCTCGTTTTCCCCCCTTTGGAGCTAGAATTTTCCAAAAGCCTTTCTTAGTGTGCTCCTACACTATGGTGGATACTATGAAAGGATACTTGAGTCCAAATTTAATCTTTTACCGTTTGGGCTGTGCGTTGATCACCAATTAGTCAGGACAAACTGTTTTATATATAGAGATAACGCAACGTTTTAAGATAGACTATGTGCAAAAAAGGGGAATAATTATAAGGGTATATCCTAATTTTAAATTCACATTTGAGTCTTTTCGTGCCATATTGAGTCAATACGGTCACGCACAAACTCGGAATATGAAACACGGCACTCGAGTCAATGCCGTGCAGCGACGAGCCACGATCAAAAAGCACTGACAATTTTCATCTCAATTTGCTAGAGTAAAACTTTCGTTAGTTAAAGCCACCGATACCATCAAAATATCGAAGTTTGAATGCAATAAGCAGAATATTTAAATAATAAAATCTAATTATTTATTGAGATCAATAAGAACAAATCATATACATACATACATCTGCCCGCAATGCGAAGCAGAATATGCGTAGCTCCGTTATTCGGTTTCTGCTTTACTATCGCTTACGCAGTCGTTGCTTAGCGACGGTAACTGTAAACTTTTGGCGTTTTGCCTTTGCAATTAACATTAAATGGTCAAAACGAAAGAAGAAGAGCGAGCCAATGACTTGCAGTTGCTGTTGTTTTTAGAGCATTATTTTTTTTACAATCAAACAATCAATCGTTTGCACGCAACTACACGAACAGCTGCTTGCATGTGTGTGTGTGTGTGTGTATACTTAGTTGTCCCCAACTGTTTGATATTTTGTATTGTTTGTTCTGCCAGCTTTTGTAAAATGCATATTTTGAAAATTCTTGAATGCAAAGTTGTAGATTTAGTTACGTAGATTACATTACCCAAATTTTAAATCGATCGGACTAAATTTATAACACAAACTTTTCATTTGAAAATGTGAATACGTAATAAAACCCCAATAATTCAAGCTCCAACATCTAAAAATCGATAATCTAAGTATGCAGTTTTGTTTGTATTCTTTAATTGATTTTAGAAACTAAGTTTTAAGTCGATCGGTTGAAAAATGCGGATTTTTCAAACAAACTTTGGAGCTACTTTTCCCCCCTTTGGAGCTCGAATTTTCCAAAATCCCTTCTTAGTGCGCATCTACACCATGATAGGATACTTGAGCCCAAATTTCAGCATCCTAGCTTTTACCGTGTGAGCTGTTGACGCGGTTTGCTTTTGTGCCCCAACATTTTTTTTACAGGAAAACTCCCATATTTTAGGCCCCAAATCAAAAAACCAAGTATACAGTTTTTCCTGGAATTGTTCTGAGAGTATACAAACTAAGTTTGAAGTTAATCAGATGAAAACTGTAGATTTTTCATACAAACGTTGGAGCCTGTTTTCCCCCCTTTGGAGCTAGAGTTTTCCAAAATCCCTTCTTAGTGGGCACCTAGACTATGAAAGGATACTTGAGTCCAAATTTCAGCTTCCTAGCCTTTACCGTTTGGGCTGTGCGTTGATCACCAATCAGTCAGTCAGTCAGTCAGGACAAACTGTTTTATATATATAGATTTGTGTGAAAAGTTTGGTTAATGTAGCTTTTGAAATGTGGACGCTATTGACAAAATTCTGTAGTGGGGCAAGGGGGGAAAATTAAAAATAAAATAAATTCGTCCTTGCTCGGTCCTAGGAGAATCTGGATAACTTTGGTTGTTCCAGCTTTCATAGTTTCTGAGATCCTTGCGTTCATCCAGATCATGCTGATTCAGAATATATATATACTTTATGGGGTCGGAGATGCTTCCTTCTGCATGTTACATACTTTGCACAAACCTAATATATCCTTTTTACCCTACGGGTACAGGGTATAAAAAAAATCAACACGACTTTTGTTAATTATTGGACACTAATAATTCAAAAAAAAATTTTCTGGGTGGGTCAAGAATATATTTTGAAATATATAACTACTTGTATATATGTACTGCTGTTGATCCAGGAATTTGTGTTCAAGAACTGGAAAAAAGCTAAACAAAAAATTGAAATTGCTAAGGCATATATCAAGACTTATACATACATAGTCAATATCCCCGACTGGTTTTCAAACAAGTGAGCGAGTTTTTTTTCGTTTCTGGAGAAATTTTCAATAAGTGACGAGCTTGGCTTCTGAGCTCAAATATAGATGAGTTCATATTCTTTAATACAAATTTAAAGTGCTTAATATGGATATATATTCCGTTTTACATTTAATGACATGTTCGTGTTGGGCCATGTTTAGAAATATTTTCGTCGTGCATGCGTCCGTGTTTCCAAAGGTTCATTTCGTGGCCGTGTCGGGCCAAAAATAGCCGGCCCATGCCGTTATCATCAGTTATCATATTAAAAAAAAAAAAAATTAACTCGTCCTTTCTCGGACCTAGGAGAATCTGGATGCCAACTTTGGTTATTCTAGCTTTTATAGTTTCTGAGATCCTTGCGTTCATCCAGACGGACGGATGGACGGACATGTCTAGATCGATTTCTATCGTGCTGATTCAGAATATATATACTTTATGGGGTCGGAGATGCTTCCTTCTTCATGTTACATACTTTGCACAAACCTAATATACCCTTTTTACCCTACGGGTACAGGGTATAAAAATTAAAGAATCGACTGTTAGGCGTTAATTAAGTATTAACAATTCCCAAGACCAAACCTTCAATTAGTAGGGATAGACCTACGAAAGGAATTTCTTATACTCTGTACATGAAATGTACAAGAGTATATAAGGTTTGCGGGAAGTGAAAAATGTAACAGGCAGATGGAGGCGTGGCAGACCCCACAAAGGGTATATATTCTTGATCAGCGTGACAAAACGAGTCGATCTAGCCCTGTCTGTCCGTCCGTATGAACACCTGGATCTCAGAGACTATAAGAGATAGAGACACCAAATTTTGCACACAGATGCCTTATGTGTGTACGCTATACGAGTTTGTTTTATTTTTTTGATTTTTCCCACACTTCCCCCCTATGGTAGTTTTCCCGATTTTCCATTCGTATAATCGCCTATATCTCGGAGACTATAAGACCAAGGAACACCAAATTTTAGTCCAAGATGCCTTATGTGAATACGCAGAAAATGGGTATTTTGGATTTCCCTCCCTTCCCCCTCTACCCCGCAAATCGTAACTCCCGTAATTCTTGGAATTTCGAACTAAAATTTTGCAAATACCCCCAGTTAGTTATTATGTGTCCGTATGCCATGTTTCACTATGATAGACCGATTTGACAAGAAGTTAAAGCCATAAATATATTTGCTGCTGCAGCGCTTCCCGCGGCTGTTGTTGATGTTGCTGTTTGGTTGATTACTAACATGTTTACACAGACACGAATAGATGCGCATAGGCATACATACACTCACACAGACGCAGTTGCTATGTAAATGTGCAATTATACACCCTTTACGTGAGTTCGAATACCGAGAGAGGTAAAATCGATCATTTTTTTTTTTTAATTTTCTTAGTTTTTTTTATTTTCTATAATTATTGTAAATATATGTACAGAATATTTTAAAGTCTCCTGAAAATCAATTAATTTTGCTGCCAATACTGATTCAATGAAGAATAACAAAAAAAAATCATCAAAATAATAGTATCTGAACTATGTTTATAACTTTACTTTTTTTAGTAGCTCATAGCAAAAAGAATAGAGTATAAGTGTGTGGTACAAAATTTATAGCATTAAAATTTTATAAAATACCTGTGCGAAATAGGATTTCCAAAAATTGGATGAAATAGTATCAAATATTCCAAGACCGATTCTTCATGCTCACTTAAACTTAATTACAGAGCAAATACGGCAGAGATATATATTTACACATAGGTTTGGAAAACAAAACATTTTTACATAATTAACTTACGTGAGGGCTGTATTCTCATATTGTAATTTTACATTAACAACAATTATACTATTTTGTGCCTCTTTGTGCCGCCACCAACGACCCAAACGGTGCTCCTTGCCAACAGCCACGTAGAGTTTTGTGCCATCTATACTGAAAATAAGGCTATTTATGAAACCGGAAATGGGTATAATATGGACTGGCTGCAACTTTCGTGCTTGTTGGATGACTTTCCATAGCCTAACGTAACCATCATATGACCCTGCAATGCAAAAATCAAATACTACATAAAAAATGACTACACAAATTTACTGCGCTCTTCTAACCTGATGCCACCAAATCAGTGTTAACTATAACAGCAATGGCGGTAATTCCATTCGCCACGCCATTTTCAGCTATTCCATGCGCCTGGTTTGCCATACAAAGAGGTTTTTTTTTTAACGTAGTCCATAAGCCGATAGATCTATAAGATGTGTACATAATATAACATAGTTTGTGTAAAATAGTAATTTAATAAATACCCGTCCACACCACCAGATATAAAGTGTTCATCGTTTAAAAACTTGACACATTCAATACCATCGCGATGCCCATTGTATATTAACTGCGATTCTTCTTTAATTTTCCAAATGCGCAGAGAGCAATCTGAGCCACCCGCTGTTATAGCACGTTCACGGTCTAAGGCATCTATGCTCGTAACGCCACTCTGATGGCCAAACCTGCAAATAAATCAGGTCAGTATTTACTTTTGAAAAAGTGTAAAAATTACATACAACGTCTCCACGTAAGCCATTTCATCGAGGGACCAAATCTTGACGGACCTATCCTTTGCGACCGAGTACAACTCGTGACTCCCTTTTCGGAAAACTAGCGATGACACGATGTCACGGTGACCTTTAAAAGTCTTTAAATGTTTCATAGTAACAGGGCACCAAATCTGTATATGTGAGCCGCCCTCGGCTAGCGCCAAAAACTTCATGTCTGTCGATAGAGTAATGGCAATAACGTGAGAGCGGCGTTTTGTGCCTGTGTCATGATCTTCGCGTGTCGGTGTGACATCAAATTTTGCAAGTACTTTGCCACTTTCGGTAGACCATTTCAGAACATATTGAGACTTAGCCCCTGTATACAGATATCTTCCATCTGCACTAAGCACTTGTGAACATATGGGTGCGTGGTGCAACTTATGTTTTAACACGAGTCCAACCCCGCACATTATTACACCAGCGGCAATATTACGGTGCAGTTTACCGATACTCTCCAAATACTCAACTTGTAAACGTTGTTCCATATTCTGATTTATCTTCAAACCATCGAAATGTTCTGCTTCTTGAGTTTTTATCTCTGATAGATACTTCTTCGCAAGCCGTAAACGTTTATCTTGGGGCATTTCATCTTCGTCCGAGGCAAGTGGGTAGCCTTCCACTTCGGCATTGTATTCGCTTTCATCACTACTTAATATCTCCTCGTTTACCGCCTTAGGTCGATGAATGGCGTATTCCGACATGGGCTTTTGAGTTGCACTGCTTTCTGAGGTATGCTGTAGAGAGTTTTACATATTTATGCAAATTAAGGGCATATTTCAAGTGTTGTTACCTTACGCTTTTTACTGGATTTACCGCCTGATTTAAAAAAAAAAGACGAAGACATCTTCATTTTTCAGTACAATTCATCCCACGTGCATTGGAACTAGGGATGGGCATCGATATGGAAATATCGACATTACGATGCATCATTTAAGTAAAATCCGATATGAAGTTCAATGCGATATACATCGAAAACATCGATATTTATTACGATATATCTTACATTATTTTTCCCGCTTCTTATGTACTTCGTAATAGAGCTGCGGAAACATCGATGTTTCGATTTTTTTGGGGGAAGAACATCGATGTATCGATGCATCGAAATTCCACTAACAAATTTTCAAACAAAAATTAATACTTGTATACAACATAGGGCACTTCGTTTTGATTTGTCTTATTTATAAAGGTACAAAAGGTTTTAAAACAAACGATATTTTTATAACTTCAAATAATAAACTAAAAACAAGAGAAAGCATAACATAAAAAATTATAGTTAGTGACTAATTTCAGATTGATTTGATTGTTGATCCTTATAAATAGGGTACTTCATTTTGTATTGTCATCTTATTCATAAAGTTAAGTTTTCTTATATAATACGAACGGTTTCAACAAAAAACAATATTTTCATAAATTCAAAGAATATTTTGTTATAAAAGCACAACATAAAAAATATATAATTCATGATAAATTATTTGAGATCCACTAATTTTTGTTAATAAAAATGAGCATGTCTGTATTATATTAGGGGTTTTATTCAAAAATGCAAATTATAGCTTTTACTAACCCAGCTATTCCCGCGATTTTTTTTCAAGTAGTAAAAAACATCGAAAATCGGAAATAAAACATCGATGTTTGGAAAAAATTGCAAAACATCGATGTATCGATTTTACATCGATGTTTCGCCCAGCACTACTTCCTAAAGCTTTTTTGATAGCTCACATTAAATCAGGGTTCGTCAATTCCAAGCAAAACTCATTCGCACGCATGAGAAATTCTGCCGCGGGTCGCCGTGGGTCGCTGCCAACAGCAGCAGAGTGTCGTACTAGCTGGGCTGTAGAAGCCGAGGGCTCGTTCGTGGCAGGCAGGCACTGCTACCCATAAAAATTTTAATTATAATCCATAAGTAGGTATGTGCAATATACATATGTACATACATATGTCTATGTTTCGTCATATAATTTTAGTAAATTTGGCGGAACCGAAGTGAAAACAGTTTCTTTTTTATCTCTATTTAAAGTGTTTCATTACCCTATGGAAAAGAAATATGTTAAAAGCGTATGTTATGAATCTTACAAATATGTTATGTTCTCTATTATTTTAAAATGAAACTCTTGCTTCCTATACCGCTTACATTTGCTGCTGAAATATAATATTTATTAAAAATTCCATTTATTTAAAAATTAAAAAAAAAAAAAAAAAAAAAAAAATTAAGTCAGGTGTCCCGACTTTGAAATACTGTTTATGTTTAAAATGATTATAGGAAATAACAAAAAATTAAGAAAATTAAAAAAAAAATTTGGGTCTATTTTATTTCTCTTAGTATTCGAACTCACGTAAAGAGTGTATAATTGCACATATACAAAGCAATTGCGTCTATGTGAGTGTATGAATGCCTACGCGCATCTATTCGTGTCTGTGTAAACATGTTTCATGAGTCAACCAAAGCATCAGCATTAACAACAGCTGCGGGCAGCGGTTGAGCAGCTCTTGGGCAGCAAATATATTTATGGCTATAACTTCTTGTTAAATCGGTCTATCATAGTGAAACTTGGCATACGGCCACATAATAACTAACTGGAGGTATTTGCAAAATTACGAAATTCCAAGAATTACTGGAGTTACGATTTGGTGGGAGGGGGGGGGGGGGGGGGCGGGTACAGAGGGAAATTCCAAAATACACATTTTCTGCGTATTCACATAAGGCATCTTGGACTAAAATTTGGTGTCCCTAGGTCTTATAGTGTCCGAGATATAGGCTATTATACGAATGGAAAATCGGGAAAACCCCCATAGGGGGGAAGTGGGGGGTAAATCAAAAAAATAAAACACTCGTATTGCGTACAAATTAAGAAGTTCCTCATGTTGGTAATTATTATGTTCGACCGACTAAGGATTTATTATTCAATAAATACAGTGCTTTGTTGCACTAATAAAAGACAAGAGCTCGTGTATTCCGAACGGTTTAATATCCAAAAATCAACTAACTGCTAAGAACATTATATCTTATAACTAAAGCTAGCCCTGTCCCTCGAGCAAGCTGACACTGCGCCTCGTGCATGGTGTCGCATACATCGCGGAGCGTTGCACTCCGCAATGCCGGTTTTCGTTGTGCAATATCCGCGGACGTTGCTGATCTTGCACTATTATCACGCCGCCTCTGCATGGTCGATTTAGCAACTTCTTTGTCGCTGAGTGGTCGTGTTAACTCCTCCCCCACTTAAGTGAAGGACGTCCTCGGACTCCTTATAACCTTCGATGACAGCCAGGATGTCTTGTTGACTTCGAATCGCCTGCCGCTTCTTGTAGAATCTGAAAGAGGCGTAGCAACAAATAAAAAGGTAGTCACAGTCAATCCAGATATTATGGGCTGCTTTATCAGTTCCTTCTCGATTTCGCCAATGTAATGCGTGTTTTCGATACTCAGTCTTTGTAAGTATGGTAGAGTTAATATCTCCTGGTGGGCTGTTATGTTGACCATCGTTGACGCTGCTGGGCCAGGAGACTTGTTCACATAACTCTTCAGGTTACGGTATAAAGAACCATTCAAAAAGACATCTTCGTCGAAGGTATGGAGAAACGTGCCGGTTCAAATTTTGACTTCGTTATCACTAGTCGTGATAGCCGCTGTTTCGTCGTTGATGATGATGACGCCGTCGTTGATGACCGTGAATGACTCGAGATGGCTGGGTCGAGTGGTGCAATGGGCCGTGCCACCAGAGTGTAGTTGTTGAGCGCACTACTACGTAGGGCAATCTTCTACAGAAAGTTGTTGTGAGCGTAGCGCTGCAGTTTCCGATTGGAAATACTTCATTACCGCAATCGGTTATGATGTTTTCGTCAGCTATGTTAAGGATGGTGTTATTGTGTTGTACAGGGTACAAGAGAATCTTCTTACATATTAAACTTGGCTTAGGGTATTTAATTAGAAAATGTAAAAAATCATTACTTAGTATAACTCTGATTAGGGCTACTTCCATCAAGTCAGTAATGGTAATGTTCGTAGAACGCTCATTGATTATGTTATTTAAATCGTTAGCGTCTAATATTGCTGGGTTAATAATACCAATCTTTGTGAGTGTAACAGATAACATTAAAGTTTCAAGTTCCGAAATTAATATTCTATTTCTTGAGAGCAAAGTTTCGAATAAGTGTTATGTGTTTATATGGCTATTCTTTGAATTCTTTATTAGCATGTTTACTGCGTCTGTTAACTTATTTAGCTGTCGTTGCGTATTTGTATTAATATTTACCTGCCCATTTGCAAATTCAGTGAGCTCCTGTTGTGTGAGTTTCAATTTTTCAAAGCCTACTACCTTTAAATCAGTGCCTAACATACTTGTATTAATGCCTCTGGCGTGCCGATGGTGAATGTCTATTGTTACTAAGAGTGTTCTTGTGTGTCGTATGTGGGAGTCTAGTATCTGCCTCATGTGTGATTGAGAAAAATCGTTCCTCAACTTCTCTGTTTCACCCATTATTTCCGCGTACATTGTTAGATTACTCGAGTGCTTTAAATATTGGAAATCTTTCCAAATTGTCGTGTCTCCGTCCATGATTGGTATGGAGTCCGCGTTCGAGTAGTCAGTCAGTTTAGCGTTTGTCATTGTGACAAGAAGTAGCATAGTCCAGATCCTATGTAAGAAAGGAAACCCATATTATAGTTACCTTATATTATCTTTATGAACCACACTCCCTTTAATCAAGACTGTGGTCCCCAAGTCTGCTTCTACCGTTTCTTCATTGTACAAGGATGTTAGTTTATTTCCCAGTCTCCTATTTGATCTTACGAGGACACTGTCCCCTACTTGGAAATTTATATTTTGTCTTACTTCGTTTAACCTTTGCATTTGTATATTCAAGCGTCAAGCTCTGGAGGAGAAGAATAAATCACATCAATAGGTCGTTTGTCGGTAACTGAATGTATTGTTCGGTTGCATTCTATAGTTGCCGGAAGTATGAGTCCGGTTGTATCATCAATATTTCTTCCAGCTCTCAGATATCTTGCGATTTTAACAAGAGTACTATGGAATCTCTCTACCTGTCCATTCGAAGTGCTATGAAGCGGTGGTGCGTTTACAACCTGAACGTAAAATTGATTATTTGGAAGTGGTTTTATTGTTTCTGATTTTATGGAAGGTTCGTTATCGCAATATATTGTTTTAGAGTACTTGTAGAAGCTCATGAGCTCCAAGATTGCCGATTGTGTGTCTATTATTGTTCTGGAGGCGATAGATTGGACAATCGAAAACTTTGAAAGCTTGTCTATACAAGTGAGAAAATATTTCTTGTCAGTTGAAAATATGCCGACGTGTAATATCTCGCCCACACGCAACGGAATAGGTGACTCTCCAAGTACCTGTTTCTGAGGGTGCCGCTCATACTTCTCTTTTTAACAAATTCTGCAATTTGCAACAACTTCGTTTGCAAGTTGGGTTATCTTGGGAAATAAATAATCTTGGAGAATCTGTTTTACGTTTTCTTAAGCGGCCCTATGAGCTCTATTATGCTCTGTGACAACTATTTCTTTCTGCTCGCCTTTATTCAAAATATCGGTTACCATATGTTTTCCATAACGGATTGTCGTCGTAGGGTATATATATATTTGTGTATGTTGAATGATTGCTAGTATTGGTAGTTCGCAGAAAATTGCGTTTGCTACGTCCTTCCTCACCGCGTCAAATACCCTCTGAATTAACGTTTCTCTACCTGATAAATGTATGAGGTGACGTGTTTTCTCACCAAACATAATAACAGTCCTATCTGAGGCAGATCCACTTTCTTCTATTACTATTTGGTACCGAAAGCAGTTGACTGGTTTGCCTGTTGATTCAACAGTGTAAGTGAGTGACAACTCGCTATGTATCGTGGCAATATCGGACTGTGCATCTTCCTCCAAAGTGTGGATGTTTTGTCTTG